TAGTTCGAGACATCAGGGTAAAAATAATGATAAATATACTCATGCCAATAATGGTTGTCACCCCCTTCAGTTTTTTTAATTGGAGAGGGGGTGGGGGTGTGAGGTGTGTGGGAGGTTGGGGTGGGGAGGGGGTGACAACCATTATTGGCATGAGTATATAAGGGAATCGGCAGGGACCGAAAAATGAGTTCGACATAACCGAGAATTCGTCTTAACCGAGTTCGAGACATTGGGGTTCGACTGTATATATGAACATGAACACCTAATACCCTAACGTATATTTCATTATATCATTTTAGTGTCTAGTGGTGAAATATCTAGTGGTTTTGTCAAAACTGATGGATCTGCACCTCTATCGATGATGGAAAGTCAGATATGGAAAAAAGTGGCCTCTGGGGGATTAACATGTAAACCAGCCTATGTTTTTATAGATTAGCTGTAGTCTCCTCTACTGTAAACACACGCCCACGACTCATATCCACGTCAATATATCCGTTATAGTTCAGCCATAACCAGAAAGATATGTTTTATAGGAGACATTAACATGCTTTAATCTTATAATAAGGTTTGCAATATTTCCCCTCCTTTAAAACCAACAAGAAATTTCGGTAGTTAGTCCTAGAACGACGTTGAATGAGACAGAAAAGCAATTTAGCTGAGAAAGATGTAAGAAAGCTCGCCATGTCGATTTTGGTTCTAAATGGTGTGTTCAGCATGAGGCCTTGTTTTCTTGGGCATATAGTTTGCAATGCACATCGCTTCGGGTCAATATCCACGTATTCAACCTAGCAAACCTACTGGCATTATAGAAAAATGAAAGCCGATATACCCACCGATTCATTTTTAAATATAGGCTGCAAAACTCTTTCTATGAGCCTGAAAATCGACTGTACAATTCCGACTATACCAAGGGCATTTGTTTAGGAATCACTGTCAAATACTGACGATACCAAGTTTTCAGCGGAAAGGTGAGCCTATCCTGCACTAGCGTTAGCTGCTGTCACAAACTCGTGCAAAGGCAAGGCAATTGTTCACCTTAAACAAAAACGGGAATAGGTCAAAACAGGAATTGTATCGGTCATAACTTTGGACACGAGAGCGTTAGAATTAGCCTCATCGTATCTTCCAAAAACTTAAAAGTTAAAAGGACGGTGTAGCCCTGACAAGTTTAGCAAATATTGAATGACGCTCTTCAAAGTTTGTTAGCAACGTATCATATCTAGTTAATATTGTGCCCAAATGGTCAAGTCGCGAAATGAAGTTGAATGGACTGACCTTGAACTTTCACCATTCCCGAATCGCTTGAAGTTATATTGGTAAACAGCAAATACACATGTCTACCTCGGAGATGCGCCATGGCATGAACAACCTCAATACCCCTATGAAATTATTTATTCAGAGTGTAATGATACCAAGTACAATGTTATTAAGGGCATGACGGGCCATTGACTGAATCTTTCTCTCAGTAGATTTATTCACGTGTTTGTGAAATATATGTCGGTGAAGGAGGCATTCTGCTTGGTAGTTACAACAGATATGGCCTTTGGTAATATCAAATATCAATTTTCAAATGTCCAGATCATGTCTATTAATCATAAAATTTATGAAGTATATTTTATTCATTTACAAAGAAACGTGTGACTATACAAATGACAGATCATAGCAGGCCTTGACCTTGGTGACGTGACGATAAGTCGCACGTTTCCATACTAAATACCAAAATGTTTATATAGCCCTGAGACTGACTGATGAGCTGCATACAACCGAGTTCCTGCAAACAGACAAGCACAGCACACTGGTGAATCGCAAGGGAGAGCAAAAACAATCGCATCCTCTGCTTTAGTGTGGCACATCATAGGGTCATTCCCTTTCGATTTCCCCCATGACAGGAGAATGCGATGCTGACATCTCATCTTCTATCAACTGGTGTCTCCATGGGTGCATATGGTGTGCCATTGGCATTTCCGATTGCTTGCTGGTCTCCAGAACGACTTTGGTCGCCTGCGGATTCATATTTCCTTGACTTTTGAAGTCAAATGTATGATGACCTTCACCTTCACTCTTTGTGGGTCAGATTCCTTCATCGCTATAACTCCAAGTATAAACTTTTAAAATTATTAGTTTGTTGCCTTTAACGTATACACTGCCGTAAGGTAGTCTCTCGGTATGTCCTTGACCCTATACAGTGTCAGTGTATCTGTGTGTGAGACATCTGCTTACGGTTGACGTCTTAACATTAAAATAAGAATCATCACATTGTCTGTAATAATATTACTTGATGCCAATGGTACGAGGTCCCTGGTTCCTTTTTCTCCATGTTTGTCAATGGTCTCTAAAAATAATGCAATTTCTAAAAGAAAGTAGTAGGATACTATAAAATACCCAATATGAAAAACAAAATCACCTGAAACTACCCTCAGTGTCAGATGTTGCCTACAGAGATGGAAATTCCTATGTTTAGTATCTCCGGTTCTGATAGTAAGGAACACAGATACCATAAACCGCTCATTTGCTTCGCTCGCAGTCATCATCGATGTTAACACTGAAAAGCCTTATTTACATGTCTTGATTTCCAGTTGCAAGTTTTTCAAAACGTAAATGAATGTGAATAACTGTACAAACTTATATTGATCTGTGGTGTGTGCATCTAAATCAAACCTGATGCTGCTGAATAAAGTCACATGTAGAAGAACAATGAGTCCCCTTTGCCGTCTATTCAACCGCTATCAGTCGTTTCGAATCAAAATCTTTAACGTCTTTTCCGCTAAGATTCACCACACCAATAGACATTTACCACGGTCGTACATCTGTAGCTATTTGAGTTTTGGCTTTCATGTTACTTTTAAAACCTTTCCAAATCTTCATCAGGACATTGATATTCTGAATTGCGCTTCAGCGCGATGAATGTGGTTTATCCAGCCAGCTGAATCAGGTACGATCGGTTGAGGCTGTGAGTTTATACACATTGCTCCTCTTGGAAATATGTGATTATAGTGCCTACGCAAATGTTACGAAAGGTAGTAGTTTGTATTATATTATCATTACTTGTTGTAGATCAAGCTGCTATGTTCTTCATGACAGCGTTATTATTACCACTTCCCTGGGACCAACAGTCGTGAAGTTTGGCGTTCGGATCATCTCGTTCTTATGACTGGATCACATCGAACTTAATTCGTTTGTGACAGTAAACACATCAACTGTCATACTCTGTGTTTAGGAGTTGTTAAGGCACGGTGCCATTGCTGCACCAATCGATCGATCGTTTTTTCTCCCGACAGAACATATACATGATACTTTATTCACAGAAGAGGGACGTTGAGTTTTATACACCTGAAGCTAGACTTCTGCATAATGCTTTTGGAAATATGTTAAGATAATGGCGTCTTCGCATGGCAACACGTACTGCTTGTATATGGAAAAGACGTAGATATAACGATAATATAAAATGCACTGCTTTGTTTTGTGATATTTGATTAGATAACCGTTGGATCGATTTACAGACCATTGAATGCATAATAATTTAGCAGTCCACACAACACTAATCTGTCCATATACCGTTTTGTTCTAATGTCACTATGGACTTCATTACTAAATCGAGATTTGATTCAAATGAGCTGATATGGTGGAAACCATATGGACGAGACTTACATGTAGAGAGAAATAGAGGGATACATATATTTTTTGCATTGGAGGGTTTTATGGCATATTGTGAAATTAAGGAGCCCAGCAAGAGTCAAACGTTGCTTTCTTCTTTCATTTTCGTAAAATATATTTAGGCATTCTTGTGTTAATTTCATCCTTCTATTTTGAAGAATGCCTTCAATAGCTTCATGTGTTTGTTCTTCCTAAGTCAAAATGGTGTGAAATGTGGCTGCATCAGGTATCAGTTCTAACAGCCTTGAATAGAAGGGGCATATATTGAAACGTTGAATGTGTTCATCAAGGGAATATTTGCCAGGTGACTCTTGTTCCTTGCGTTTATATATAAGAAGGTTGCTTCAAGGTGTTGTTTTTCGGACGTCTATGTTCCATTGTTTCATGACAGAGACAGCAATAATTAACTTTGTTGTAAATAGGTTCTTTGATGCGTATTTGTTTGTAGAGCCAATAAGGCTAACAGACGTTAGAATAAGTGGTCACTGACCCGTGCAAATCATGGTTAGAATTGATCTGAACTAATCCCTAACGGGGTCGAGCGGTTAGTCTCGCTAACTTGGTTTACACATATCATAGTAGGGGGCGGTGGGTAGCCTAGTGGTTTAAGCGTTGGCTCGTCACGCCGAAGACCCGGGTTCGAATCCCCACATGGGTACAATGTGTGAAAACCATTTCTGGTGTTCCCCCGCCGTGATGTAGCTGGAATATTGCTAAAAGCGGCGTAAAACCAAACTCAGTCAGTCAGTCAGTCATATCATAGTACCCAAACTACGTAGATAGATGATCATGATGTCAATCACTGGATTGTCCGATCCAGATTCAGTTATTTACAGACCGTTGTCATATAGCTGACACATTAATTGGTGTGTTGTTAAACAGCAAATAAATGTGTGACCATTCGGTTCGCTGGTTTAACGAATATATCCTAAGTACCTCGAACAGCATGATCTGCATGATCTATCTTGCAGTACTTATTCCAGTTCCAAAACTAATTTACCAGCGTACAGAAGCAACAACCTATTAATTACTAGTAGCATTATTACAGAAGTTGCAAAGTTATGAAATATATTTACAGAAAATGTGAAAAATATACTGTACAATGTATATTCTGTTGCATCATTGCGTCGAAAATGTTTCCTTATTTCATCTCAACTGCTCAATGTTGTACACAAATTCTCGGTGTATTGAATGTATCCAGGATGAATTGATTCTCTGTGGGATCGATGATATTTATGAGTCAAGTATGTAATCAAACATGTCGTTTTAGGCTTGTTATTGTATAAATATTAAAACAAATAATGTGTACTGAAGTATTGTAATTAATGATAATCTGTTTCCTGCAGGAATGGCAAGATGAACGACTTGTATGGGACCCAAAAGACTTCAACGGGTTGCAGATTCTAAGGATACCTTGTGAAAAAATATGGCTTCCAGATATTGTACTATATAACAGGTACGTACTAAGTCTATACCTAATGTTATATCTCATCTTTGTAACAGTTTTTAGGAGTTTATCGCTTGTTTATATTCTTGACCCCACACTTTGTCTCTAGCACTTACATGTCCTAGAAAAGACCGTATCCTTCATCTATTCCATTCGCTCGTCGGTCATACTTGTACAAAGGACCCATAGACTTTCATTGTAGTGTATGTTTTTAGCAGCTCCTTGTATTCCAACACGTCAACAATTTGATAAAATGATTAATGGAAACATTGTTTTGGGGATGAACCTCCTTCAAAGATACGACCTGCTCCGTGGTACTGGTGGATAGAGCGTCTGTCAGGAGAGAGAAGGTCGATGTTCTATTCCATTCCAACAGTTGAATAATGTATTTCTTGTTGCCTTACCTGGCGAGACGCGCTGGTAGGCCTGGAAACAGTATTTTGATTCTAAGCTGGACATCAAAGGTTCACAGCGTTCGGGGGCGGTGGGGTAGCCTAGCGGTTAAATCGTCACGCCCATTCCTGGTGTCCCCCGCCGTGATATTGCTGGAACATTGCTGAAAGTGGAATAACACCATACTCACTCACTCACTCAGGTGTCTGTACAAGTGTACTCATGTTGAACTTGACGTTAAAGCTCTCCTCTCCTCTACTCTTCTCTACTCTCCTCTCCTCTCCTCAAAATATAGGGGTATTCATTGGAATACTATGTCATAGATCCACATAACCTATGCCTGTACATTTCTTTCCAGTGCTGACGATTTTACAACCGGTTATATGAAGAGTAAAGCAATGGTTACAAGTCAAGGCAACGTCTTCTGGCCGCCACCCGCCAAGTTCAGGAGTTCCTGTAAAATAGACATCACATATTTTCCATTTGATGATCAGATTTGTGAGCTTAAGTTCGGTTCTTGGACGTATGACGGTCTTCAAGTGGACCTGACAAACAGATCGGACATGGTGGATCTTGAGAACTACATATTCAGTGGCGAGTGGCAGTTATTGGCTGTGAGAATAAAAAGAACAGAAGTGTTTTATGCCTGTTGCAAGGAGCCTTACCCTGACGTGCGGTTTACGGTCATTATCAGGAGAAAGACGTTGTATTATCTGTTCAACATTATCTTCCCGTGTCTGTGGTTGACAATTCTCAGTTTACTGGGGTTTTGGCTACCTCCAGATTCAGGGGAAAAAATCACACTTGGGATCACGGTACTGCTTGCTTTCTCAGTGTTTATGTTGCTTATAGCTGAAAATATGCCGGCGACCTCGGAGTTTGTACCATTAATAGGTGAGTATATCATTCGTTAGAATTTGTCTTGAGCGTGAGTTCAATTTTACGCCGCACTCAGCAATATTCTAGCTATATGGTAGCGGTCAGTAAATAATCGAGTCTGGACCAGACAATTCAGTGATCAACAGCATAAGCATCGATCACACAATTCGGATACGATGACATGTGTCAACCAAGTCAGCGAGCCTGACCACCCGACCTCGTCAGTTGCCTCTTATACAAGCATGGGTTTCTGAAGTTCAATTCTAACCCGCATCTTCATGGGTTTGTCTTCAGCAACTCGTGTTTGTCGTAAGAGGCGAAAAACGGGATCGGGTGTCAGGCTCGCTGACGTGGTTGATGGATGTCATCGTATACCAGTTGCATAGATCAATGTTCATGACAATTACTGAATTGTCCGATCCAGACTTGATTATTTACAGACCGCCGCCATGTGACTGGAAAATGGTTGAGTGCGGCATTGACAACAAACAAACCCAACCAATCTGATGTATAGGTTTTTAATACCCGATCTTCTTGATATGGGAAAATCAACTAGAAACGTTACACTCTGCCTGAGAACAAAGGGACATATTTACAAATTTATCAACCGAAAATAGATATCTGGTAATGACCATGAACGAGCGTCACGTAACATAACGGGATCTGAGTGATGGTCTTTAATGAATTAAGGTGAAAGTTTGCATTAAATTAAACATTCGTGTACTCGGCGGATGATTTTTGTTACGACATAAATAACATAAACGTCATTTCGAACAGTTTGATTGGCTAATGAGGGTTTCGATTTATGAATCCTCATTTGAACTGCTTTATGTGTTGGGCTATCATCTGCAATTACTCTTTCACACCCGACGTGCAAATAGAATTTGGAAAAGTGAGAGGATAATGTCAGTGGAAAATGCCGCGTATGAATCAGGGTTTGTTACTTCATGCATAATTTGCACGGATTAGCACAAACAGCAGGCTTAGTTGTGCTATTCAGTTCCTAACAAATGGGAAAGCAATCTCTTTCCTTTACAAGCATTTGGAGCATTTCGCAATACGGTGTTGACAGTTGCTTGGATATGGTCAAAGCCGAACTCAAATTTGTTCTCGTCCGTGAAACATCGTCTGTCAGAGTTTGATACAAGGTTCGGAGTGGAAATTAAATTAAAGAGAACGGTACCATTTGCAGTGCAAATAGGTTCCTGTATGTTGGGCAATATGTGGAAGTATATTTGTATGTTCATGTCTCAGGAAACTAAAGACTTATCCAAGCTCCACATTCTTAATGTAATGTGAAACTTTGTATTTTTTGCACCTGAAATGAATACAAATAGTTTTATACACCGTGCAATCTTAGGTTTTGGTGAGAAATGTAAAGAGGTTTGTAACAAGACACCGTAGACATTACACCGATATTCGATTTGAAAATATTTTCGTCCTTTGGCATAAGTGTCAATGCGAGAAAAAATATCTTGAAAGAACTATAAAAACATTGAAAAGCCCTTATCTTAATAAGAAGTCACTGGAAATGCCAGAATGACTCACTAAACTTTTCATAAACAAAGATTTGTACTTTAAAAGTTTTAATTGGATCGTACATCGTTGATACACAATCTTCAGCCTAAGTATCAAATTATTAGGATCGGTGCCTCGACTGGGAGTAAACTTTATTTTGTCTGTGGCCGACGTATTTCTGTTTTCGATCGGACATCTCAGAGTTGGTGAGTGTCTGAAGTCACACCCCAGACACGTCGAAGGTCACACTCCAGACACGTCGAAGGTCACATCCCAGACACGTCGACCTGTGTCCCGCGAGGCAGTGTCAGAGTTCCTACCCTTGTTGGTGTAGACCTCCTGGACTTCTGCGTTACACAAAACCCCGCTTTTAGCTAATTTGACTGAATACAAAACGGTAGAGTGAAGAATGTTTGTCCTACTGGAACCCTGCCAGTGCTGGGATGGTACAATGTAAGTCAGAGCGTCAGTGGAGAGTTTTTCACATCTGTAAAATTCATAGTTGAAATTGAAATATTGATCGAAATGCATTGCATTGTCCAAGTTTAATGACAATGCTTTTCAGAGGTTTTATATATTTCATTATGACTAATAATTGGCTTAAACATTACTTTTTGATCACAACCTTGTTCATCAATAATGTTCCTGCATGCATTGAAAGTTACTAATTATCCTTAATGCTGATGAAATTCATAGTCGAAACAGATTTCTGATTCGTTTCATTGTAATCCAGTGGTGCAGACATATCTCTATATTATCTGCAGTTTTGGACGTGCTTCGTGTGGCTGTAGCGGTAATGTGTTGGATAGACAAGGCCGTTGTTATGGACCTTCCCCGGACAGAGTCTTTGTTGTCGTTAACGTTACCGCGAACACTGGAGACCGAAGCACAATCACTGCAAGCATTTTATGTCTGGGGTCGTTCCCTGATTAGGAAATAGCCCGGCTATCGCTATAGAACGTGCTGCAGCGCTACCTGGCGGTGTTAGGGGTAAGACGAGGCAGGAACTCTTCAAGGGGTATCCGCTTATGTGGAATATTCTGAATCTAAATTAAAGGAAATAACGCGACTTCACTGTGTGTCTCAGAGCTGATAGTATACCCTTCTGTCCACTCTGCTGCATACTTTGGTTACGGGCTGTTGTGTCCGTTTTCCGTGGAAAATTAGTCTACCCAATGAAAGGGACCTAATGTAATTAGTTTTGCGTGAATAGGCTTTGAAAGGTTCCATACACAATCGGTCTTTTGCTTTAGCACCTGCAAATCACCTTATTTTGCAGTGGCTGGTGGAAAGAAATATTTAGCCATGGGTGATTCTTTATTGACCAAAATACCTTTTGATGAATGGTTAACCAAACTTATGGCTCCAGAAACGTATTACCTACAAGTTGTGTTGTAATACTGAATAGTAAGAGAAATACCGTACCTATTTCACGGCGGGTTGTAAAGTAGACCAGTGATTGATATCACGAGCACCGACTCTCGCCATATGAGTAGGTAACAGAACACTGAACAGTCAAGTCAAGGAGAGATAATACGCATCCCTATTGTAATATTCTTCAGAAGTCATTAAGTGCTGGCGCCCTATTCGGACTAAATTGAATAACATTGAATTTTCAGAAAACGTAATTTACCCGTTACACTTTCCCAGGGCCCTGTCATGGACGTTCCGTGGCATACACACCGCAATTACGTCATGATAATGTCATCAACAATGACATCACAGAGTCCGGTCAAACTACCCGTGAAGATCCGGGTTAGAATTGATCTTCAGTAACCCATGCTTGTATAAGAGGCGACTAACGGGATCGGGTGGTCAGGCTCGCTGACTTGGTTGACACGTGTCATCGTATCACAATTGCGTGGATCGATGCACATGCTGTTGATCACTGGATTGCCTGGTCTAGACTCGACTATTTACAGACCGCCGCCATATAGCTGGAATATTGCTGAGTGCGGCGTAAAACTAAACTCACTCACTCACTCCGGTCAAACTGTATTAACACTATATACATTTTCTGTTTCTGCTCTATAAACATGCATGTGCGGCGTGGTGTTGGCTTTTGATCAAGGTGTCTTTGATACCATTTCATTCTGGAACCGTCACTGACAAGTTTCTGTAAGCAATGTGTTGTAATAGCAAAATCAAACAAGATTTCATCAGCCATGCTTTCATAAACTTCTTCAAAAGTGTGTTTTATTGACTTACATCAGAAACACAATTTGTGTATAGGCTGTAACCATTGATTTGGTCCGTAGGGTTCAATAAAACCCTGGAAGTCTTCAATCACAATGACAGGATTTAATGGCCCAGTGGTGCCAGTGTCTTCTCGTCCAGCCTAAGGTACAGGTTCAATTAAACCAAGTCTAAAGTGTGGGACTCGTTCATGAAGTACTTAACGTGCTGTGTGTGCTATATTCGAAGACGCCCACATTCAAACTTGAAGGTAAGCGCTGGGTCGAGTTTATCAAACCTCTTACTAAACTCCCCCCTCAGTGAAACTCGAGCAATACTCCAAATATAGCTGTCTGTCGATGGTACGTGGATTGGTTTTGATAGGGGATGTTCTCTGTGTTCACCTCTCTCTCCCTTGAGGTATGGCATACGTATTAACCCAAGGAAAGCAATAACCAGTCGCTACAGTGGCCAAACTAGACTCTGAGTAATCTTTGCCTGAATAATCTCGATCAGAAAATGTTTAAAACATGAAAAATAAGGAGATATTTCTGTTATTTATACAAAGGTGCTTTCCATTGTCCATCGATTGGATACAGTGCATCTAGGATTACATTTCTACAGAGCTTAGGTCATTAATTTCAAGTTGTCGATCTCGGCTGGTCTGTCTGACATCTCCATGCCTTGGTCTATTTACACTATTATAATCTTTGGCAGTTTAATTCGAACTTCTATTTACACTGTGAATGACAAATGACGCCCCAGTCTGCGAATGACAAGTCACAGGTCAAATGGTCGTTCTTCGCCTCCCTATATATTTATTTGTAGAGATACGGTTCAAATTCGAACAGAATCAATATCGCAATGGTCCTCGATAGCAATGTAAGGGGAACGTTGCAGATTGATGTATCTGAACAGCCTGGGTTGAATGTTATCGCTTAAGACAGCGCATGGTGTATTTGATTCTAGTATCCCTTACCAATCTTACATAGAAAGAGGAGACATCTCAAATCTGAAAAAAGTCCTCCGCGTGATAAATATCTTAAAATTGGGAGAGTGTTTAATGGAGTGGACGGCATGAAGTATACGAATCCAATTCCATAAACTCAGAAAGTGACAGTTCATGAGTGATTTGTTCTCGTTTGTATTCCGTTATCAAGGGGTTTGAATAGTTGGCAGTCTGAGTCTGTGACACGATGCCCGTAGAAGAAAAGGTGACTTGAGGGTGATTGCCTGTGGTTATTGTAATGTCTGTGATACTTTGATCCCTTGTCTTGTGGAGCTTCGTTAAAATGCCAATTAGTTTTACCTTTTAACAGCGGAACACCACGCAGTCAGACCTGCCCACGACTTTTCCAGTTTTCAAGAACGTTTGTATTTTTTTATTCAGAAAGGATGCTTGTTAATGTAGTGTTTCTTTATTTCACTGACAGATGAAGACAGTGTTTCGTTTCAAAGATGCTAAAAAGTCATGTCTACTTCTGACTTGTTTTATGCAGATCTTGGTTTGTAAACGTAAACGTAAGCGAGTTAGCAGTTAACTGTAGTCCAGCTTTTCAGAGCAGAGTTTATCTATCGACTGAGAACACCCTATCCATTTTAGTTGAGTGTTTCGACCATGTTAGGTTACTATGGACGGTTACAACGAAGGGCATTGACGTGGGTGTTAAGTTAGCATTCCTACTGTTAATGAGTAAAATATTCTTACTTTTAAGATCTGGTATATGTCCCAAATTTAACGAGTGAAGATGTGCAAAGAAGTGTTCTGGTAGCTCCTTTCAACAAGACTGATTAAAATGCAAAACGTCCACGGTGGAGAATAGTCCTTCCCGATCATCACCCGAAACAGATTACTTCGAACTTAAATGCCAAAGTTCCTGTGAATATCATATGAAGGGTTCACTGAAAATGTTCTCGAAAAGAGTGCTCTGGCACCCGCCACTCACCCAGTTTGCATAAAAGAGCAGATGTTTGTTTGTTCCTTAACACCAAACAACAGAACTAGCTACTGCGACTATATGCAACCCAGTCTTCTCAAGACAATCTAGTGACACGACATCACGTTTACTGTCAAAACTAAACCATTATGTAAATTATAAGTCCATCATACGTCATCGCTCATATGCTAGTCCAAATAAGAATCAAAGAATCAATTGAACCCCGTACAAAAGGTTAATTTCCGAAATTCATGGACATAAAATTCTTTCACCATCCGAAATGATGGATATATATTGTTAAGAGTTACAGTACAAACTTGTCGTGTCAGTGCCAAATTCCAGTCAATAGGGCAAATGCGATGTATCTGTCACATTCTTGTCCATTGTCGCTATATTTGTCCATTTATTTCTTGATAATGGTAACACACTCTAACCTGTTACACTAAAGTGGTGGACACCTTTATATTTTACTTTAGTGATATATTTCAGTCTCAATTTTCAAAGCAACAAAGCGTGAACTGATTCTTGATGGAACCATTAACCTTCGTGTTGTAAGATCACTTGAGTTGAAAATTCGTTGAAATTGTAGAAACTGTTCAATTAGGATCTTACTCTGCGAATTGCAAGACAGTAAGCATTCGGTTAATCGATGGCTGGGACGCCTATTTTTACACATCAAGTGTAAATAACATTCAAACGCATATCTTGACATAAATATAACACATTTAAATCTTATGCTAGTTAATTGTAGTATATGAAATATGTTCGCAGAAATCTTTGTGCTGTTGCTTAAATAATTCATTTATTTGACTCTGAGGACTCCCCATTCCCTTGTCCATTGTTTGGTATCCCACTCCTGTCTGGAGATGCTCACATGCTAAATATACGCAGACATTGAGCATGGTTACAACGTATGTCTCACCCAAGTTCCCCCTTTTGTCTCGGGGGAAATTAAACGTGGCGAGTTTGAAACGTCTTTAGAATAGAAACACATAATGTAATGGAAACCTATGTTCGGGTTTCACACATAGATACAGAGATGCACCGCCTTCAGATGGAAGAGACAGTAATTGCATCACCCTTTTCTTATTGTGGAGAAACATGTCACTGTTTTCTTCTTTAACCTAACTATCACCAGCAGCAGAAACCCCAGGCCGAGAATTGTTACATTGACTGGCTCCCATGATAAGCTTTAAACTGACTGGTATGTTTCAACAGAAGCACATTGCGTGCAAACATTGACATTAAGTCCTCACGGATTCGATTGTTTTTCTTTTTGTACTGGTTTTTAAGATTCCCTAAGACACACATGAAGTTAGCAGTGCATGGGTTAAGTTAACTCCGTAAAATTTACTTTTCGATTTTAAAATGATTATGTTTTGTATCGGCGTATATATGATTGTCCACGATGGCACGTCAAAGTGGCGCAAGGCATATGTATCACTATGTCTGCTGTTGTCCAGATATATTCATAATGACCGCTGGAAGAATATTGGGTTGCATTTTATGTGTCAGTCGGTCGCCACCCCCACCATATCGTGAGTAAATCACATCAGACCCCGCGTAAACAAATTAGTAATTCATGCGTGGTATTAGTTTAGGAAGCGCAATCAGTTTCGGGCGATCTTGACAATCATTACTGCTGATTGTCAAGTTAAAGTGGGAATACATCACGAAAGCCCTCGACGCACATTGAGTGTGTCACTGAAATGTGAGATGCTTGTTTTTCATTCTGTCAGCACATCTTAATGTTCCCTGACTCTATTTGCATCCACCTGTCGTTCGTTGCGAATAGCTAAGTTAAGGATAAATTAAATGCTGGGGTTGTACATAGCACCATTTTATGCGTCCGGTTATGCTGTGACTTTAGTAAAATTGTAAACGCTAGCAATTAACGCACATCTGGACATTAAATTCCCATGATGTACACAATTATCGACTTAAATCACTACTCGTTATATAACCATCCAACGATAGTAGGCGATAATATGTCTATGTGGCTAGGTTTTCATAAGACATGACAGGAATTCATTTCTTTATATGTTGCTATGATGCCTTGATTTCAATTTATTGTCGCAGCATTTTTATTGTTTTTCTTTAAGAACGGAAACTGTCAACTACCTGAATTTTAACGTTATATACAACCAACAACCATTTCTACGCAAAGAAGCCAAGTGCCAAAAGGGATACAAATAATTGTATATGTTAGAAAGCAGCATCAGTACCACGCTGATCGAACGACAGTACATATACACTCAAAAGATATTGGCACACTTCGTGAACGTGTTATGTGCATGTGAATATGAACCATTTTTCAAAATACAAACTTGCATGCAGAATGTAGTTAACTCAAGCAGTTATCAAGACAAACATATAGATTAAGATTTTAAGAACCAAGCATATATAATAATCATGACATGCGCATGAAGCGACAATCATACCACACATAGTAAAGTCACACATGCACCGGAAAGCCACACTCACAGATACATCGGCTGTATGCTAATTCTATTATTTATGTATTGGTCGTCATGCTTTCCTCTTTTGCCAAATGACATCTCACTTGTAAAATATAATTTTGTTTTCAGGAATCTACCTGACAGTTACCATGGCGATGACGTCACTGTCCATCATACTGACCGTGTTTGTTCTACAACTCCATCACGTTGGCCCCCATCAGAAGCCCGTTCCAAGATGGCTGCGGTCCCTGGTATTTGACATCTTTGCCAGACTTGTGTGTATGTGTCACTCGACCGATTCAATGAGAAACAGAAGACAGGTTATAAAAACAGATGATGTGTGTCTGTCCACATTCATGGAAACCATTGACGGTAGCAATTGCAATGGGTCTGTTCCATATAATGGGATGCCACTCGCTCATGAACGTATGCTGGATCGGGGGGACCACACGAACGACAGGATAACCAGTCATCTGAAAGGTTTGGTACGTCGTCAGGACAGCGAGGAACGTCATCAGGATGTGGTGAATGAGTGGCGCTTTGTTGCCCACGTCATTGATAGGCTTCTCTTCTGGATTTTCCTTATAGCTGCAGTTGTGTCCTCTATCACGATTTTGGTGATCCAACCCTTCCTTAAGCCGGAGCACAGCCTGTAATTCATTTGTCGAGAGGAGAGATGTGTACCGATTAGAAGTGTTGGATACAAACAAATCAGGAATAGCTTCAGCCAGCCTGGAATATCCTGGTCAAGTTCTGCATTGCATAAACCGTGCATAGTTGTGTTATATGTTTGGCCGTATCAGGAGGAGATAGATAAACGCTTTGACCTTGGAGTTGGTGTTAATATATATTTCACAAAGAAAGTAACCAGAGCGTTATGCACCAATATTAAAAGATACCTGGTTTCAGAGAATTACCATCTGTGTAATTAGAATTTAAATAGCATTATATATAGACCAGCAATAATATGTCAACTATGTACATAACTATCATTAATTATTATTGATTCTTTACAACAATTAAAGAAAAAATAAACACATATTGATTATGCATTTAAGTTCACACCTAAATTGTCTACAATGAGAAGTGATTTGTACAAGACTCGAGATCGGGTCGAGGGAGCTTTTTGCAGTAACGATTGGTTGTAAAACCGTTGAATTGCTGAGGGTGAGCTGTTACGGTATTGTAGAATGCATCGTGAGGAAGGAAATCAGCGTTACGAATGAGAATGATACGGTTACGTCTCCCTGTGATTTTCTGTGTGCGCCATGGATGATTTTAAAAGGAGCCATGATGTGCTTGATGGGTAGATTGAAGAGTTTGGGTAAATGAAGGCCTTCCCAGTGAAGTAATCATGCAATGATGGCCCTACTTCAGTAGAAGCTGACATTATCAACCTCCAAGAGGAGGGGCGTCGTTGAGTGTTAAACTGATGTGTGTCTCGGCGATGATTTTTCCATCTTAGGTACCTACACAGTCTAGGATGATGAATTTGGTCAACCCTTCCAACGAACTAACATCAGTATCGATTACTCTTTATGTGTATGGATTTCATTTATTTTAACATTTTTCGCATTTCTGTGAGTGACAAGAAAGTATTTTTAGCGTGCAGAGAAGGGTTTGAAAATGGCACCTGGACAGATAATACCAAATATCGATCGTACCTTTCTTTTCTTTTGTAACAATGACAGGTACACTGGTGATTTATTGATAATACAAATGTGATTAGGTTTGTCATACCTGAAAACAATGCAAACACATGTTTGTCGTTAAGGACAACTATAAAATCCACAACATGACATCCAGTATGTGTTAACATTTCAGCGCACAAAATGCATGTATAAATTTTGACACCGGCGTACGCATAAAGTATGTGAGACTCTGTCCTCCTAGCTAAAACCCCCAATTCATCCCGCAAGGATAGAACTATTGTTGACTCCGTACGTGACTATACCTCCCAAACATGCTTAACTAATTATGCAAACAATGACCACAACAGAGCTGAACTGACTGCTTGGTTTCTCAGAAAGAAAAACTATAGTTTTTATTTTTCTTATGCTGTTGGTAGTGACTATTGGTGTAGCCATAGTGTTATAGTGAGGGAATGTGACGTGTTTGTTAGATAGAAACATATTCAAACTTTCTTTTTCTCCTGTGCATGTGTAACTGCACTTTATAAATACTGCACATCGTTATCCGCTCACGTCAACACCTAATTTGCTGTTGAATGAGTGTGTAATACTATTTATTTTGTACCGTATGGTTATTTATTGCCACAGATATCCATTCATCATACAGACATGTATGTCATACATGCATTAACTAACCATCAGCGTATATTTTCCACGTAGCCAACCCAAACAACCTTGAAATGTAGTAATATATTTTATAGCTCAAGTAAGAACAAGTTCAAAAGATTCGTAGCTTGAGAGCATCTCAGAACATTAGAAATTCTGGGCTGCATCATCAATGGCTGATATATCTATTGGTGCATGGATATATTTAATGCCTAAATGTTGTTCTGTATTTGTGTGTCAGAGTTCGCCCTAATAACTGTTTTCATGTTATGTACAGATGCATACAGATCTTCAGAGCGATGAATACATATTGAATCCTTCGTTGAATGCATATTAAGTTTCCGTAATGCCTTTATGCTGCGGGTGTTTGAAGTGTGCTAATATAACTGATCCGATCTCACAGCATAATGTTATGGGTTATGCCGTGTATATTCCCGAGTAATCAGATTCTAAAGATAGTTGTCAGTACTAAAGAGCTCTTCCCAGAATGTAAATAAACAGAAAAATGAATCAAGGAGTTGACACAGTAACGACTGCCTTAATAAAAAAATACACGAAATAACAGAATGTATCATGTAAATGTTCCAACGTGGACCTTTCAAGATTTCTCACGAATTCATCTTGAGGATTAATACCACTAATGACTGATGACGTTACAAACCACAGACGCATATATCTAAATTGTTTTAAAGTTGTGTGCTGTATATTATCACAATGCCATTTAGCTATTTATCTTGACGATTTCGATTTGTGATTCGTGACAAGAAGGATTATTAACGGTTCCTTTCTTGTACCGTGCACAAATACTATTAGTCATACTTGAGCGCTACCGACTATATTGTTCTACAGTGGTACAAAACGCCACTGCCCAACGTCCAGCAACCTCTACCAGTCGGACCAGTTCCTTCACTGACACGGGTCGTGGTCCAGTGATCTATGCATTGAATATAATTGCGTTCCATACCAAATATCGATGTTTAATATTGAGATAAATGTATACACTGTGTCCTTTTGCACCCTTATATTCGATGTGGGATACTTTCGAAGTCAATGGCTTTATGTACTCCTAGCTTTTAATTTTAATGGTTTGTGTTGCAAGAAAGTATAATGTCACCGACGGTTGGCACGATTAGAAAGAAATATGAAAACGTGACTTTGTATAAATGCATAATGAATTCGTTTTGAATAATAAATTGTAGAGTAAACCATTTCGGATATGACCTCCTTTTGGTCCTTAGGGCGGTTGGGTAGCCAAGTGGTTAAAGCGTTGGCTCGTCACGCCATAGACCCGGGTTCGAATCCCCATATGGGTACAATGTGTGAAGCCCATTTCTGGTGTCCCCCGCTGTGATGTTGCTGGAATATTGCTAAAAGCGGCGTAAAACCAAACTCAAACTCAGTCCTTTTGGTCCATTCCTGTGAACATTCGGTGTTTCCTTGAATGCACCTCAATACCTCAAGGAGTGGTATAGGTTTCAACTGGATCCCATAACGGCTGTCATATTTCTTCAACATTGTGTTAAATTCATAATATGTTTATCACACTGTCTTGCGTTTTCTAATGACTAAAATGTTCTAGAGTTCTTTCATTCTTCTGTAGCGCGCAATACCTGTTCCAGTGATGTATCATTAGCTATCTGTTTGGTTATATGACTAGTAATGTTGCATTAAATGCAAACAATGGGTATAAGCTAAGTTCCTATAAAGGAAATGAAAATATGTGTTAATTCATTTATCTTATTATAAGCCGAAATGAAAGCATCAATTTCATTCTCAGTATCATGTATTTGATTCCTGGCATTTCGATCATACAAATCACTTGTCAGATGTCGACAGCCTTGAAATGAGCTCTCTAGAACGACGTGTCCAATCGGTGAATTGATGATGTTTTTCAAATTAACAGAAACCGTGATTCAAATGTAACTGTCTGTTTGTCGATGTTGTCCCTGTTGACAGAACAGAAAAGTGATCCAGAAAAGTGGACCAGATAAGGAAAAGTTAACAATTGAGATATATATATATATGTATATGTATATGTGTGTATATGTATATATATATATATATATATATATATATATATATATATATATATATATATATATATATATATGTATATATATATATTGGGGGAGGGAGAGGGGATTATGGTCTCAGACTGTTTAACACTGTTCCAACAGAGAATGGTTGAAGCAGATACTTGGGATGAATGAGGTCTGGCGTCCGGTTCTCCACGAGGCGTTATTATCAGGACGCGGAAGAGGAATTCGGTGTATGTAACTAAGTTGCAGGTTTCATCAATGCACATTGACTACCCCATTATTTTCCAAATTTGACGTTGGCGTGATAGGGCCAGACGATTTACGTGATTAGGATGTATAAACTTTATAATACGTACATAATGTAATTCAGCCAGATAGGTAGACTGCTTGTGGCAATCCATGAGAAGAGCAGTACCATACGTCATTTGATTGTTTTAGACGTATGGAGTACGTCAACCCGTTTTCCGAGTATTAAAATGCCACTAAAACGTGAAGACTTATTTGTTTATCAATACAATATGTACTCGCTTTAAGGATATTTTTCATTGTATTTCAGATTTTACAGTCGCGAGTTGTATGTTTCGTCATGGCGCCCTAACAAAACTGCTAACATTATTATGAATAACATTATCAAATATATCTCACAATAACTGTGTGTGTATAAACGTCTCTCAGTCTGTCTCTGCTTTGGTGCATGCAATGACATTGCTCATGTTTTTATTTTCCCTGTGTGATATGAACTACAGTGGAATAGAACAACCCTAAGTTGGTAAAAAGTAGCACCCAATCGTTCTTGTAGACCCGAGTTTCTTGAATGGCGTTTGCCAAATAGTCTGTACAGATGTGATGTGAGAGAAAACCAACAAAAACATACTGTATGATTTGTGTAAATAAATTACAGATATTTCGTAAAGTTGAGTTTTGTTTTGCTGAAGGGAATGACCATCCTAGCTATAAGGCGAGGGGAGTTGCGTCCCTTGGACGTCTTGGGACCATTTGATCATTAGTTCGAATCCCAGATTCGACCTGGGATTCGAATTTAGAGCGGCTTTGAATCAAAGCAACCCATTCAACACTTCATGTACCTTTTCATCTCGTGTTTTACTGAAGAAAATACACAACTGAGGGAATATAACATAAGGTGATCGCATCATGTGTAAAAGAGGCAGTTGAACATTAACACCACTCTAAGCATTGTTTCGGTTGATTCACGCTGTATCACCTATTGGTACCGACAATTCAATATTCGTTTTGGGATATGAGCTTGTTGACAAAAGGAAATTAACATATATTCTTCGAAGATTTTTCAAAATAAAAACACCTGAATTCATAAGATATGTATTTTGCAGCAGAATCAGCTCAGGGGCCGACAATTCAATATTCGTTGGAGGAGAGAGGCTGAAGTTGTCAGCCACGAAACATATATTCTTGGAAGATCATTAAAATAATTAAATTGAATTTAACAAACAAATTTTGTTTTGCGAAAATGTTTTGCAGCAGCAGCTGAAAATACATCTAAATGTAATCTCCCTAGCAAATCTCAACATATACCGACGGTGAGAAAACCGATACATGTCTATGCATGTGAAGCTTATCAGTAATGTGTAATCCATGGGTACAGGTGTGGTTCTACAGACCAAGAACCGACCTGTTTTTGCACCCTCTAAAGCCTCCAGTTCAGTACAACATCCCGACCTCAGCGTACCACTGCTACACCAAGTCTTCCCTTTTTACTTATCTGAACCTTTCATGGTATATCGACGACCTAGACCCCTCTTTGGTTAAGAAACACGTTCTTCGTGAAAAACATAGAACCCATACGGCTTGGGCAAAGGTCAACTGAAAACATTGTCTACAATGCAGCATTTCAATGGATCAATCTCTGGTCCTTTCACTTGTCTAAAGGCATTCTTGTTCAGACTCTTTTATCGAATTTAAAATCAATACCAAAACCCAGATCTATTTGTCTTGCAACTATGACCAAGTATCAGCAAACTTTTCCAATATATTATAGGTAGCGATGTGAGCGTTCATCTTGTACTGTAAAATTCCGGCAATTCCGACTATATCATGACCATGTGTTTATTGATCACTATCAACACAGTGATGGTACTAGGTGTTCGTGAAAAGGTGAGCGCAATACACCCCACACCCCACACCCCACACCCCACACCCCACACCCCACACCCCACACATGCAAAAGTTAGTTATTGATCATCGGGAACCTATAGTACAAGTCAAAACATGTACATAATATGTTATCATCATCATCATTATCATCATCATCTTCTTCTTCTTCTTCTTCATGATGATGATGATCATCATCATTATCGTTGTCGTTATCACCATTCAACTAATTCCACAGGAGCATCGTCATCAAAACTAGTAATCATTAAAACCGATGAGCTGCTGTTACACCTGCGGTCTACTCTCAGAAACCGTCCACGTTCACCCTTCTAGAGATGTGCAAGGACAAACAAGGCAGGGCTGCACGCCCACTCTGTACTTAATGTTGTCTCGTGAACATCGTGTTACTGTCAGTCTCCATCAATGGCCATATGTAACCTTAGACAAATGACTAAAGCAAACACTGGGTGTGAACATAGTTACTTGTAATTAAATCTCTTCACAGGCAGACACTGTCAGAGTTGGAACCTATTTTGTATCATCATATCTGTGACAAAACAACAAATATGATAATGTATGGACCAATCAGAAACAACAAACGCATGCAAAGGCAAGTCAATAAGAGATTTTCATTGGACATTATTTTCGTCACATTTTGCATATTGAATTCTACATTGCAGAACGTGAAGGTAGTAGACATATATTGTGCTGGTTTCGCAATAGTATAACCCTATTTAACAACTGTAACTTTGTTGTCATAGTGAAACAGTTCTTGACTGTAACCCCTAATCGTTTTTACCGGCTTCAACATGCATGTATGAACAATTAAGCAGTGAAACATCAAAGACAGTCATGAAATGAAAAAAAGAAATACCGTTAAGAAATTAAATTAAGTTAGGGAAATACTTGTGCTAGGTTACGTTATATTCTGTTTGACATTTCTACCCTTATTCAAACGAGTAAATGTAGTATTTACGTTTCAAGGTATGAAAACTGGAATTCCACACATTTTCACCTGTTAGTTTAGAGAAATAAAGTGTCAAGGCCTGCCAACTCTAGCTGCTTTACCTCGTGTGAAATGATTGGGGGATCTGAATGTTTTTGATGTAGGTCATAAGCTCTGTGAATCACAGATAAGGATACATTGGGATGTGTATCTCACCTGTTAAAACTCTTGACGATTGATAAAGTATCATTTTATCAAGCCATATTAGCAAATTGGCCCGCAGTGTGTGATATTTGTTCACTGGGGTTAAATCAAGGGATTTTTGTTTCATCGCACACTGTTTTTCACTTGTTCGGTTACAGGTTGTACATTCGAGAACGCAGTTAAGAGTAAAGAAAAAATCGACATAATTCATAAAAACTTACTGTCATGGGCATTTAGGTCCCCTCTTCATTATGTGTGCATTCGTTTTGAAAACTGTGCCAGTTCATTTCATTAAACATGTTATTTAATGGAGACATAGATTAAGAAGTAATGCCATTGTTGTATCCGTGATGGTATTACAAAGCTCTAAGCTAGTGCTTTCCCCACTAGTCGACAGGCCATCAAATAGAAAAAAAACCGATGCGATGATAATGACTTTTTGTCCCTTTCATCCTTTTCATTAAACGTACGTTGAATATTAATCTCGTGATAGAATCTGATTTCTTTTAGATCATTTTCCGGCGGTCACATTGGACCCTTAATAATCCAATGTTTTAATTCAAACTAGATACTCGCAGACTAAAATATTCATTAACTTATAGTAAATTCATGTCATGGCACACAGAAGAAATCGAACCTCATGACAAGCGTTAATTTTATTGAAGAATTATATCTATTGGGACTTTCTGTCACATTCTTTAAATAACTTTCCTGAGTGATACAGTATTTATGAAAATAACTTTTTGGGGCAATCATATTAGATGTGATTATCGGAAGTACTACTACAGCAAATATTACATAACCATGATTATTGCAATGATATTCACATCACAATCAGTGGCGTAAACGATAAGCAAAAAACGTGGTTCATCTGAAGGGTGTTTGACGAGCATCAGTGA